CGTCCTCTGAAGCCCTGACAACTCACTAGGGGCCAGCAAGCCCCGGGATCTGCTGGCTCTCGGCCTGCGTCTTTAACAGGGGATGAGTGGGGCCAGCGTCCACCTTCCAGGGTGAGCCAAGAAGGCAGAGCAGCGTCCAGGACTCGCAGAGCTTTCTGAACCTGTGTCCCCTTCCCCGGCCACTTTTCTCATCCAACACATACCTCCCCACGGAAGTCAAAACCCTTCAGAGATGAGAAAGGTCTTTCGGGGTGGCTGGTGGACCGAAGGGAGGAGTCTCCAGAGACAGGGTGGGCAGTGCCGCTGCCAAAGTGAGGGGGCCGGCAGAGTCCCTGGGGCTCCGGCAAGGGAAACAGGGCACCCCACCCTGCCAAGGCCCCTCCTGAATGAGGCTGAGAACTGCAGGGTTGGAGCCCGGGAACCACAGAAACTGTGGCCAGGCATTTTCCACAGGACACAGGGAGCCAGCTCAGGCAAAACCTAGCCTTTCAGAGAGCGGCTGCTGGCACTTCTGCCTAGAGCAGAGGCCTATTCCCTTGACTGGCCCTGAGGTGGGAGGAACGGGGGCCCCGAGGGAGGCCACGGTAGGATATTTTCCCCAGAGACAGGATCTTGCTTTGTTGCCCAGGCAGGTCTTGAATTCCTGGGCTCAAGTGATCCTCCTGCCCCAGCCTCTTGAGTAGTTTACTGCAAGATCTTTTCTGGCCTGAGAAAGGGGGGGTGCCTCTCCTGTCTAGAGGGAGATCGGGCTCTCCCTGGGAGTGGGCCAAGGAGCCTCTTGGAGAGGGTTTCTAGATTTAGCAAATAAAAATATAGGGTACTCAGTTAAATTTGAACTTGCATTTCAGATAAATGCAAGTTTATCTGAATAACTTTTTAGCATATTTCTCATGCAATATTGGCTACATACTTACACTAAAAAAAAAAAAAAATTGTTACCTGAAATTCAAATGTAACTGGATGCCCTGTGTTTTATGTAGTAATCCCAGTCGTGGAAGGAAAAGGATCAAATACAAACCCCCTCATTTCTCTGAGCCTTCTTGGTCCAGGCCACACAGCTAGAAGCCCAAAGGTGGCACTCTTGGAGTCTGACCTCCCCTGGCACATGGCTTGAGATAGTCTTTACCCAGCTCCACTGGTCCAAAAGTAGCCCATAGACCCCCAAAGAGGCCTAGAATCTCTCCCCAGGGCGTCAGGATGGGGCCCCAGGTCCCCACTGGCTGTCCCGTGGACCTCAGGGAATGACGAGGCAGCTCCTTGGTTGCAGCTGCCGCTGTGCTGCCCACTGCTGGCTCTGGGGCCGGACGACTCGGCCTCCTACTAGCCCGGCCAGTCTCTAGACCCCTCCCAGCCTCCATGTCCTCACCTGAGAAAACAGGGTCACAATACCTGCCTTGCCAAGGTGGTGAGGACCAGCGGAGAAAGTGAAAGGGAAAACCCTTATATTCCAAAGCCCACAAGGTAAGCATCCCCCCGCCATAGAGTCCTCTCCCCGGCCACCTGAATGCACGCACAGTCGATGTGACTCTAGTGAGGAGTACGGGCTGCACCCCCAGGCAGCGGGCAAGTCCTGGGCACCCGCTGCCACCACTGGTCCATTGCAGCCCAGCTGCACACACAAATCTCACTTTGCAGGAACTGTTCATCTGCCTTCATAATACAGTTTCTTCTCCCCACTTCAAGGCCTGAGATCATTTCTCTGAGCCTTCTTGGTCCAGCCCACACAGCTAGAAGCCCAGAGTGGTGCCCTTGGAGCCTGACTTCCCCTGGCACATTTTCCAGCTTTTCCAGGAGCCCCAGGGTGTCATTTTTGCTGTAAAACCTCCTCATGCTCCCCAAGCCCACAGCCTTTTGGGTCCGGGGGGTCTTCTCAAATACAGCAAAGCCCGGCCCAGCCCCTCAGTAGTTCTGGAACACTGCGGCTCTCCTGGTACCATCTTCTAATCTGGTGGAGAGGAAAGCAGGTGAACTGGGGACCCTGAGTTGGAGAACCTGCTCTCTGCCCTGTGACCCTGGCCAAGTCTCTCAGCTCCAAGCCTGCATTTCCGCATCTGTAAAGTGGAGCTAACGGGACATGTGCACACCAGGCCACGGTGAGCACAGGCAGGAGGCCGCGGCGTGCAGTGCTCAGGCCTGTGTGGAGTCAGATCCTGGCTCCAAGGAGGAGTCACTGGATCCCCAGAAGCACAGTGGCCTCATCCTTAAAGCAGTGGAGGTCAGGGGTGGTCAGAACAGGGTCATCTTGTAGGGCCATTGTGAGGGTTAAAAATATAATGTATGATAATGATGCATCAAAGTAGGTTCCTCAGTCCTAACAAACATGCCACTCTGGTAGGGGATGTTGATGATGGGGGAGGCTGTAAGTGGTGGGGACGGGAACTCGCTACACTCTGCTCAAGTTTTTTTTTTTTTTTTTTTTTAAAAAAAACAGTTTCACTCTGTTGCCCAGGTTACAGTGCAGTGGCGTGATCTTGGCTCACTGCAACCTCCACCTCCCAGGTTCAAGCAATTCTCCTGCCTCAGCCTCCTGAGTAGCTGGGATTACAGGCAGCTGCTACCACATCCCGCTAATTTTGTATTTTTAGTAGGGACGGGGTTTCTCCATGTTGGTCAGGCTGGTCTCAAACTCCTGACCTCAGGTGATCCGCCCGCCTTGGCCTCCCAAAATGCTGGGATTACAGGTGTGAGCTGTGATTACAGGCCTCTCCACTCAAGGTTTAGAGCAAACATAGAACTGCTCTAAAATAAAATAAAATAATAAAATAAAATAAAATAAAATAAAATAAAACAAATCCCCCCCTTTTTTAATGTATGTGATGAGTTTGGCACAGCTCCTATTAACGACAGGTCAGGGTTCCTTCCCGTCTTTCACAAAAGCCCTGCCTCTCAGCATCCACCCTTCCCAAGCAGTTTGTGGTAGTCGGACTTTTCACTCGGAATCTGTATTTTGAAGGAAATCCATGCCAGGTAATAAACTTGGAGGAGTCCGAATCTTGTTGAGCCACATTCTTCAGCTTTCTGCACAATGATCGCCAGCTGGCACCTCCCTGCACCCACCTCCCCGCCCCACTCACTCTCCACGTTCATAAAGGCAGACTCTCAGCCACCTCTCACCATGGCAGCGCCAGGCAGGCTTACACTCACACACCGCCATCCGCACACTCTTTATCATCAACGATGGCACTTCACAGGTAGCACTGTGGTTCCTTGTCACCAACCCAAGAGAGCCTGCCCTTGCCCACACTGAAATTCACTCCCAGAGCCCCACGACGGGGGAGGCCCACCAGCCCCTCTGGCCTCCTTACCTGCAGAGATCTCAGACACCGCAACCTCCCAGCAGAAGAAGAAAAGGGGCAGAGCCAGACCCCAGAGAGAGCCCATCCTAGCCGGCCACCGCCGCTGCAGAACTGCTGGCCGTCTCACGGGTACCTTTTCCTGCTTCCTCAAGCCAGGGAGGAGGGGCCGCCTCCTGCCGAGGTGTGTGACTGGCTAGTTGCCAGGATGTGGCCACACAAATGTGCAGGCTGAGGGCTGGCAGGTTGAGGCTGTCAGCAAGCTGACCCCCTGCCTTGCTTGCCCAGTAAACACTCCGCTGAAATTTGATTTGAAGATGTGGAATCACTAGCTTTTTTGTTTTTGTTTTTGTTTTGAGATGGAGTCTCGCCCTGTCGCCCAGGCTGGAGTGCACAGCAGTGAGATCTCAGCTCACCGAAACCTCTTCCTCCTGGGTTCAAGCGATTCTCCTGCCTCAGCCGCCCGAGCAGTTGAGATCACAGGTGCCGCCACCACGCCCAGCTAATTTTTGTATTTATGGTAGAGATGGGGTTTCACCGTGCTGGCCAGGCTTGTCTTGAACTCCTGACCTCAGGCGATTCGCCCGCCTTGGCCTCCCAAAGTGCTGGGATGACAGACCTGAGCCACCGCGCCCGGCCAAATCACTTCCACAGTGACACTGACCCTCAGTCTTGTGCTGGGAAGGCCACAGGAGGTCCCGTTTCACCACCTCCCCTCCTGTGCCTGGAGCTGGGGTTTTGATTCAGACCCCGGCTTCATCCCTGGTCCTGGGCATGATTAACTCTATCTCCGAGGGCACATTTCAGAGCCAGGCTGAACCTTCTCCTCCTGCTCTGTAAATGGATAAACCCTACCTCGCCGGGCTGCTGTTGTAAGGATGACATGTGATAGTAAAGCTTTTACACAGTGCCTGCCACACAGCTGATGCTCATCAAAAATATATACATCTTAGGTGCTCAGTAAGTGAGTGGGAACCCTGACATCCGCTCTGATCCTCAAGTGCTGGGGAGAAGAGACAGCTCCCCGGTGTGGGACAAGACTCTGATTCCTAACATCCTTCCATCTTCATCATCCTGTGATCCTGCATCCCAGTCAAAGCCAGGAACATTTGCCAGGCTGAAGGCGCAGGGCTGGGAAGAGAGAAAAGGTGAGCGTGCTCATCTGAGTTTCAGGGCCTAGGAAGAGAGGACGCGGGAGGGTGATGACTCAGAGAAGCTAGAGATTCAGCCATGAGAAGGGACATGCAGTTACTGAATATATTTCCAAACGCCCGAGAGAAGAATCTTCCTCCCTCCGTGTGCCACGGACATGGACTGTTATGGCCGCTGGCCGGTGACCACACAAGGCAGCTTGGGAATTTCCGGGCAGGAGCGCTGATGAAGGCCGCTCTTGAGTAGAAGAAAGCCTGCTGGATCCGCATGAGGGAATCACAACATCTCAGAACTGGAAAGAACTTTAAAACCAGGCTGGGTGCAGCAGCTCACACCTGTAACCCCAGCATTTGAGAGGCCAAGGTGGACAGATCACTTGAGGCCAGGAGTTCAAGGCCAGCCTGGCCAACATGGCGAAACCCTGTCTCCATTAAAAATACTAAAATTAGCCAGGCATGGTAGTGTGGGCCTGTAATCCTTGCTACTTGGAAGGCTGAGGCAGGAGAATCTCCTGAACCCAGGATGCAGAGGTAGCAGTGAGCCAAGATTGCTCCACTGCACTCCAGCCTGGGCGACAGAGCAAGACTCTGTCTAAAAAAGGAAAAGAAAAAAAAAAAATTGGAAGGTCCAGGTTCCATTTCCAACTCTCTCCTTAACACTGACCCAGGAGCTGTGTGAACGTACAAGTTATCTGCTCTCTCTGGGCCTCAGTCAACGTGAACTGCAAGGTCCTTTTGGCCCCGTGGTCTGGGGTTCTGCGTTGGGTGTGTGACATTGTCTTGCAGAAATTTACTCTGCTCTGGGCTGTGCTGCTGGGAAGAAGGAGGGAATGGGAGAGAAAGGGAGGAGGAAGAGGCTGAGGGAGGTCCATAGGGGACAAAACCCAGCACTTGGGGTGGGGATCTTGGACACCATTGATCTGTAGGCTGAGCCCCTTCCATCCTCCACTCAGCCCCAGCTCTTTGCTTATCAAATGAGACAAGGAGCCCCCGGGGGGTGTCAGGTAGAGAGAGGAAGCCAGGGCCACAGCAGGGACTGTATCCTCTTAGACCCCATCTAGTAGCTGCGATCCACTCTGAGGCTCACCCCAAGGGAAGACGGAGAAGAGACTAAGCAAGAATGCAGGTCCTTTCAGCCACCCCAGCCCTCCTCCAGCCCCACCCCTGCAGGGATCGGAGCTTCCTCATTCCAGCAGCAGGGGAGTCCACCCCAGCCTGTTGCAGATGAGGAAGTGAGGAATCCCTGGAAAGGAAGCCTGACTGAAAGCTTCCCTGGGTTTGCTGAATTTTGGATGATTTTCCTCGGTATTTGGGGAAATTTACAAGCCTGGGCAGATGACTGTTAGCCCTGGGGGCCATAACAGGCTTACGCAGAAAGTTCCTGGGACATATTTTCAGCCAAACTCGGCTCTCACCTTGAATGAGCACACGAGGCCAGTTCATTAATTTAACACTCATGTATGGAATTCCTTCTATATGCCAGACATGGCTCCAGGCACTTGGAATACATCACTCAGTAAAAGAGATCCTGGCCTTCATGGAACAACTTTCCTAGTGAAGAGAGACAGCAAACTTGAACCCCAAATATCTGAGAGAGGTCTCAGTTAATTTAGAAAGTTTATTTAGCGAAGGTTGAGGACTCACGTCCATGACACGGCCTCAGAAGGTCCTGGTGACATATGCCAAGGTGGTCAGAGCATAGTTTGGTTTTACACATTTTCGGGAGACCTGAGACATCAATCAACATATGTAAGATGAACATTGGTTCAGTCTGGAAAGGTGGGACAACTGGAAACAGGGAGGGGGCCCCCAGGTTATGGGTAGATAAGAGACAAATAGTAACATTCTTTTGAGTTTCTGATTCACCTTTCCAAAGGGGGCAATTAGATATGCATTTATCTCAGTGAACAGAGGGAGGGATGACTTTGCATAGAATGGGAGGCAGGTTTGCCCTAAGCCATTTCCAGCTTGACTTTTCCCTTTAGCTTAGTGATTTTGGGGGCCCAAGATAGTTTCCTTTCACATTTCTACCGCTTTCCTTTTTAAAATTTTTTGAGAAAGCATTTTAGGAGAAAATGAGTCTCTGGTCTCAGGTTTCATCTGGTCTCTCATGGCTAGGATGGTGTATTTCTAGATGGGTAGGTCCCAAGTTATTAGGAAAGCTCATTTTTAGCAGGTTGTGAAGTCTCATGTCATGTGAAGAAAAAATAGGGGGAGGAAGGGAGAAAAACAACAACAGACAAAAGAACAGTCCTGGAAAAATCAGTATAGGCCACATTACTCTGAAGTTTATACATCAGTAGGCAGGTATGAAAGTGGCTTATGTATGTAAATAAGGTTGCTGTTATTTTCTTCTGAAGTTTAAGTTGTCTAGCTTCAGTTTGCATGGCTTTAAGAAAGCACAGCTTAGCTTTCAAGGACTCAAAATTAGGAAAAATGGGGAAAAAGAAAGGAAAAAATTGAAAACATTATTTTGAAGACTTGTAGCCAAGAAAAATTAGAATTTGGTTCAAACTACAGAAAACAATAAAAATTGAAAAATATTAGGCAAAACTAGAATCTAACAACAGGTGTACTATAGTTTTTAAAACATAATTTTTCTCTCTCCAGCTTCTCATTTTTACTAAAGACAAATCATGGTAGGACTGGTTTCCTTTATTATACTTGGCCTGATTATTTGTATACAGTGCAGCAAGAATAATTATTTTTTTACACAGGCTTTTAAACTGACTTTGATGGAACTTTGTTCCATAGAAGGAATCTCAGAAAAGACTTGTTTAAAGCTGAGCCCTGCCATGGATTTGTACAAACAAATACCTATGAATTGCATGAATTCCTCTCCTCTTGAGGTCCCAAGATAAAACTTGGGGCTCCTGGGCCTGTCAGAAAGTGACATTCTTTACTTACCACAGGTCAGGAACCCTGTTCAGGGACTGTGTAGACAGGGCATGCGGCCAGTTTTCCCAAGGGGCTTTTGCTGGCTCCATAAAACAAGTTTAATTCCTTAAAGGAAAGCACACCATTCCAGTCAAAGCTGTGGTAGAATAACCAGTCTCTCCAATTATGTCCTGTTACAAATAAAAACAGATTATTATTGTACTTATGCAAATAATTATATTGTGATAAGAATACTCACAAATAGTTTCCAAATTCTGGAGAAATCAGGTAGAGAGAAACAAATATGCCCCAAATTTTGTTCATAGGAGTATAATAACTTGTTAAAAGCTGTCAATAGCTCAAAAGAAAAGTTTCCTTGACTCTGAAAAAACAAAACAAAGGATCAACAACGTTTTAAGCAAAAAGTCAAAAAGATTACTTCAGTCTTCTATAAGTTCAGTCCATGTAGTTAATTCCTGTTCTGCTTGATATTTATGAACACTTCAGATCTCCATGAGTTCTGAAAGTTTTTCTTCTATTCTGATGTCACAATCTCCCAAGTTATCAGAAACCTGCATTCAAGAGTGCCTTTTAGAGTTTTATAGCTGATTATAAAACCACTTTTTTTTTTTTTTTTTTTTTTAATAGACAGTCTCACTATCTCACTCAGGCTGGAATGCAGTGGGGTGATCTTGGCTCACTGCAATCTCTGCTACCCAAGTTCAAGTGATTCTCCTGCCTCAGCCTACCAAGTAACTGAGATTATAGGCACCTGCCACCATGCCTAGCTAATCTTTGTAGTTTTAGTAGAAACAGGGTTTAACCATCTTGGCCAGGCTGGTCTTGAACTCCTGAGCTCATGATCCACCACTTTGGCCTCCGAAAGTGCTGGGATTACAGGCGTGAGCCACCATACCCAGCTATAAAACCACCTTCTAAAGAGGACCAAAACAAGACAATTGTCTGTGGGTAACAAAAAGTTTTAGGGGAGCCATAGTCAAAGACACAATTGACAAGGAAATTTGTTTCCTCTGTGGCACAAAATAATGTAATATAACAA